ACAAATGTTATTCTATTGTTCCCCCCCCCCCACCCCTCGAAGGTGTTGACCGTTTTTTTCGGAATCTCCTAAGAAAGGAGGAGACCGATTTGTGGACTTCAATGGCGAAACAAACTCGAAGTCCCACTGGCAATCTGGCAGAGCAAACCAATCAATCGTAGCAACCAATAACTCAAAGGAGAACACAGACACACGTGTGCCAAAGAAAATGGCGCTCAAACGCTACCGACTTAAACAAAATGACCGCTACAATGTATTTTTAATCAGTTGGGGAAATTTTAGGCGGGAAGTTAATATTTTTATTTGTAGGTGGATTATTGGAAGCAGAGAAAAAAAGTAATTATTCCTTCTCTCTCTCTCTCTCTCTCTCTCTCTCGGGGCAAAGTGTAATTATGCGTGACTTTCTACCGAGAAGAAGGAAGCGAAAGAAATCTGGCCAAGTTATTCCATGGTCAATTGAATGGCTAATTAAAGTGGCGCACGCTTGAGTGAGGACAAACTCTGGAGGATGAAAGTACTCAAGGAATTCTGAAAAAGAAAATTCGTGGAAGATGAGAGTGAGAGGCAGAACAATGAAAATTCAAATGTGCCCAATAAATTGTTAGGGGACTTTAAATTCTTCACGTTGATAGAAATTAATTTGAAATGATAATGCGGTCGTTATTTTCCCCTCCCAATGATCAACCGACATGTATTTATAAAAAGAATACTCTTTGCGAACTCTAATAATATTGGTTCAGTGGAATACATGAGTTCCACTCGAAAATGCTCTCCAATGTGGTCGATGATTGCTCACTCCCTGCCTCACACACCCTAGAAGGATTAAAACAAACAAATTCGCAACTCCAAACTGACCGAAAACGTCAAAATGTGTCGAACTGGAAGGAAATTAAAGAAACCTATAAAGAGGTGGAAGATTTTTTAAATATATCATCGAAATGGAGACCAGTCATCAATGGCATGCCTATTATTTCATCTGAAAATTTTGAATGAGTGTCTACAGCAATACAACTCATGGCAATGACTTCCAAATGTACTTATTTATAGCAAAGGGGAGGCTTTGTTATTGCTATCATTAGCTCTTTAGTTGACTTCAAGATTCACAGAGAGGAGGAGGAACATCAAAGTGATAAAAGGTCGATAGGGGGGGGGGGGGGACAGAAGAGTGTTTTAAAGATGTAAAATAGACAGACACAAAGGCCGAGAGTGGGGTAAGGCGGGTACTATCAAAGTGGTGGAATATGACATACTGTGGGGTC